ATAAAAATAAGATATCAATGAAAGTCACACAGGCCAAAGCTGTACCGTCTGAAAGGTAACTGGATGACTGGTTAGCTTTGGGTCTTGGCCCTTAAATGGGAAATTTTCCTGGGGATGCATAAAGGGCCCGTCAGATGGCCTGGATGCCGTGGAGCAAGATTTCTTGTACCACCCCCATTTCTAATCTAATCTAATCTATTAAGAAACCAAAACATATTTATATGGACAAGATTCAAATATTACTCAGGGGGTCCTATTCAAATTGTAAGGCTAATTACTGTTTTGGTCCAGTTTTGATATCATAAAAGGGGATTAAGGATTAAGCCGAATGTCTTCTAACTTGGCATGGTCATTACTTGTTAATGAGAGATGATTAGTGGAAAAATTCAGATCTTTAGCACCACGTGAAAATTCGTGGCACATCGAAATGTCTTAGAGGCTCAGGGGGTCCTATTCGATTTGGAGTCACTGTATATGTAGCGATTCCAAGGTCTCAAGTTGTCTATTCATCCCGCTGCGGTCTAAGATGCTCACATTTTCAAACTCGAACGCATGATTTTCTCCTCTCGAGTGGGTTACAAGAGCGCTCACATCATTTTCTGGTCTGGTTTCTTGAGGATTCTTCTGCATGTTCCTTACGCTCCTTTTGTGTTCGACCCACTCGATCCTTGAGCCTCTGTATCGTCTTGCCGACGTATGTTTTGCTGCAGTTGCAGGGAATTGAGTAAACAACTCCACTCTGCAATAATGTAGGCGTCTTATCCTTCTGGTTTGTGTAAAATTGAGAGAAATTTCGTGGACACCTGAAGACGTAGAATGTATGTGAGGATGTGGAGGATGTATGTGAGCGACTTGTAGATTTTTGCCTCTTCAATCTCGCTATCTTTCGTGTTGTCCAGCGTTCTGCAGTGATGATGCCACAATCGATTGATGAGTGCTCTTGGAAATCCATTCAATTGTAATTTTGTCGAGATTATGTGTCTGATGTTCTGCTGATTTATCGTTGTTAATCTCTGTATGCGTTTTATAAATCCCACCGCAGTGCCAATCCTTTGTTGAAGTGGGTGTTGAGATAGGTAATTGAGCATTCTGTCAGAGGCGATTGGCTTCTTATACCAAATTGCTTGCAGTGTTTCATCTGTCCTCATGACGAACGTATCCAGATATGCTATGCCTTGGTTGTTCTCAATCTCGACCGTGAATTGGAGCTTCGGATGGAAACTGTTAAATGCCTGCAAGACGTCGTTTATTCTCCCTTCAGGGATTAAGGCAGAATATGTCGTCCGCAGCTCTTAATATTGCAAATATTCAAACACTTCTACTGAAATGTACACAACTTCTCACCATATTATCTCCCCCTTGTTTTTCACTCTGCTTGGCGCATTTTTTTTTCCGTGTTTATGGCTGGAGAAAGAACATGAACTACTGTTGCTTACTTTCTTGCTTGATGGTTATTTACAACTTTTGTGAAGAAAAAGAACGAAGAGAATGATGCGAAATGTCCAGAGATTCATCATTCAGTAAAAGGAGTTTTATATATCATATTTTTTCCCACCAAAAATATATCATGAAATTCATATTGTCTTATCTCTGTGTCTCAATCGGCACAGAAAAGTCAATGTTCTTGGGAAAAGAAAGAGATTCTAAATAACTTGCATAATAATATTGAGAGAAGATATATATTATTTCTCCTGCTGAGATTTTAGATTATGATAATATCCCATTACGATAAGAGAGAATAAAAGAGAGAGAGAAAAACGATGGGAAAATCAGTGTGACGTTAAATTCCGACTATGATTTTTGTTAAATCACTGAAATAACCACAAAAATGCCGAGAATAATCTCAAGAAAGTCAATAATATCAACTTTTTTCCTGTATTTCTCACAAAATAAGAGATATTTGTTATGTTTCCATGAAAAACTTAAGAGATTGAAGACAATATTATAACAAATTTCTGAAGAAATCTGGCTTTTCTTGAAGATTTTCAGCACTCTTTGCTACTTTGATGAATTTTTAGATCACATTTGAATTCTTGTTCACTTTTCTTAAATTTCAATTCTATATTATCACAAAAATAATAGAAAAAGATGGATTTTCACGAGTATTTAGAGAAAATTCACAGATAAATGGGCGGAGCTTCCGAATGGGCGTGGTTTAAGTTGTAAAAACTTGAAATAATCACAAAAATAGTCAATAATATCCACTTTTTACGTATGTTTCTCACAAAATAAGAAATATTTGTTGTGTTTCCATGAAAAACTTAAGAAATTGAAGGCAATATTATGACAATTTTTGAAGAAATCTGGCTTTTCTTGACGATTTTCAATACTTTTTGCCACTTCTGTGAATCATAATCATTAAAAAGAAAGGGAAAATTACTCTAAATTGTGGAAAAACACAATAAAAGAATCTCAGAATATGTTCTTAACGCCATTTTTCGCTATAATTCGCTGGAATTGAGGTTATGTAATGAATCAAAGACAGTTTTAGTAAACAATTTGCATTTTAACACATAAATTCTTATGCTCAAGTTGGAGAGATTGCTAATCATTGACAGATTCAAGCATTTTCATGGTTTTTCCTAAACATTTGATGCCAAGAAACACAGAAAATTGTGTTCATGTCAAACATAACCTCAAAAATTGTCATTTTGACTTGAAAAATGCTAATTTAGAAAGCTTTTTTGGACAATTTTGACTCTGAAACAGCAGTTTTAAGTTCATTAGCAGATCTAGAATGCTTCCAAACGGAGTTTTTAAAGATCACTTGGTTAAATTTTGAGGTTATGTTGGGAAAAGACACAGAAAAAAGCGGTTTTTAGTGAATTCTCACAGAAATATCGGATGAAAATCGAATACAAACATTATCTTACCTTGAATTGGACTCTTTTGCTGCCAAGAAACACAGAAAATTGTGCTGAGATTGAACATAACCTCAAAAATAGTCATTTGAACACTTGGAAAATGTCAATTTAGACAACTTGCTGGGCAATTTTGACTGTGAATCAGCAATTTTAAGACGATTTGTGATCCAGAAAGCTTTCGAAGAATGTTTTTGAAGATCTCTTGGTCATATTTTTGAGGTTATGCTCGGAAATATGTTCAAAAACAGCGGTTTTCGGTCGATTTTTATAGAAATATCGAAAGGAAACTTGAGAAATTCAATATTATTTGGGGATTAATATGAAAAAAGATTACAAATTTCATGTTCTCTAGAAGTGTCAGGGAAATTTGGAAGTGTTTGGAAGTGTTGTAAAGATTTAAGGCATATTATTTCCCCCTTGTATTTACCTATTTATCTTTTTTAACACTAAAGAACCTCCGCAAAGCGCAATATTTATGTGAAATATTTTGCAATACACATCAAAATACACCTTTTTTTGCTATTTAATTCTGTGATGTTAAAATTTGATAATATTTTTTGATGTTTTTGCCAGAAATTCGGAAGAAATCAATCGAATTCACGCGCCAAAATTCAAAATATCTCTCTTGTATTCACGAAATCTCTCACTGTTTTTACCTTTCGATAATATCAGCTTCCAGACACACCTAATCAATGAAACTTAATGTTCTCCTAATCAAATAATCAATTATTTGAGCTAAAATAATCATAAAAAATGATTATTTTCCCAAGTACCTAAATTTCAAAGAAAAAATCAAATTTTGTATAAATTAATTTTAAAAATTATTATTTTCCTAAGTAAGATTGAAAAAAAATCAAAATAATCAAATTATGATTTAAATTATCATAAAAAATTATTATTTTCTCAACTAAAATTGATGGAAAAAATCCTTTTTTGAATAAATAATCAAAGAAAAGATTATTTTCTCGAGTAAAAGCACCAAAAAAAAAACAAAATAACCAAATTCTGAATTAAATAGTCAAATAAAATTGGAAAAAATTATTATTTTCCCAAATAAGATTACAAAAAATATCAAAATAACCAAATACTGGATTAAATTAAAAAAAAAAGAATATTTTCTCAAGTAAATTTTGAAAAATAATCATATTTTGATTAAAATAATCAAAAAAAATCCAAGAAAAATTACATTAAAAAATTTCAATAATCAAATTAATTAAATTAAATTATTTGTTTAAATATTGAGAAAATAATCAGAAAATAATCCAAATTTAAGAAATAATTATTTCTGATTTTTATTCAAATTTTGATTATTTTTTTGATTATAATAAAAAAAATTAGATTTTTTTTTAAAAATTCTTAATCAAATATTCAGAAAAAAACCAAAAAAAATCAGAATTTTGTACGAAATAAGCAGAATTTGAATTTGAAAAACAAATAATCAGAATTTGTATAAAATGAAAAATTTTAATAATAAATATTTAGAAAATAATCAAAAAATAATCAGAATTAGAATTTAAAAATCAAATAATTAAGAAATAATCAGAATTTTTAATGAAATAAACAATTTTTTAATTAAATATTCAGAGAAAAAATCAAAAAATAATCAGAATTTGTATAAAATGAAAAATTTTAATAATAAATATTTAGAAAAAAATCAAAAAATAATCAGAATTTGACTTTAAAAATCAAATAATTAAGAAATAATCAGAATTTTTAATGAAATAAACAATTTTTTAATCAAATAATCAGAGAAAAAATCAAAAAATAATCAGAATTTGTATAAAATGAAAAATTTTAATAAGAAATATTTAGAAAATAATCAAAAAATAATCAGAATTTGTATAAAATGAAAAATTTTAATAATAAATATTTAGAAAATAATCAAAAAATAATCAGAATTAGAATTTAAAAATCAAATAATCAAGAAATAATTAGAATTTTTAATGAAATAAACAATTTTTAATCAAATATTCAGAGAAAAAATCAAAAAATGCTCATAATTTTGTACAAAATAATCAAAATTTGACTTAAAATCACTAAAAATAATCGGAAAAAATTATTAAATAATCACAAATTTAATGGTCTCAACTTGCGCGAGTGACTTAATTGACTCTTGATTGCTGTTTATCTTTGCAGGTTGACAACTCACCGTGCGTTCTGGAGATTCTGGATACCGCCGGAACAGAACAGTTTGCCTCAATGAGGGATTTGTACATAAAAAATGGCCATGGATTTATTGTTATGTATTCACTAACAAATCATCAAACGTTTCAAGTGAGTATATATATTCAAAAGACTTCTCTTGTATTGCCTTCCATTAAAGTGTGTTAAATGTTTGCTCACGGGTGTTGATGATGATGAAGGAGGGAAAGAGAGAGAAAAAACGGTTGTGGTAAATAACCAGAGGTGTAAGTGTTGCATAAGAAGGTATGAAGAGATTGTAGTCGAAAAAGACTGGACAGTTTCATTGCCTTCTGTGGAGTTCAAAAAATCAGCAGAAAAAGGGTGAAATTAGGAGTAAATGAATAAAAATGGGCGGGATATTCGAGTGGGCGTGGCTTCATGAACCAATCATGATTGTTTAATAAATTTATTTTTAAAAACCATCCAAGGGGCAAATAACAAGAGCCGATTTTTGAGGAAACTTAATGTTCTCCTAATCAAATTATCAATTATTTGAGTAAAATAATCCAAAAAATGATCAAATCTTGAAAAAATTAACAAATAAAGGTTTTCTCAACTGAAATTTGAAAAATAATTTAATTTTTAATTTAAATGATTATTTTCCAAATTAAAATGGCAAAAAAGTTCAAATTTTGAATGAAATAATAATAAAAAAAATTTTCTTAGGTAAAATTGAAAAATAATCAAATTCTAAATTTAATATAAAAAAAAAGATTTTTTTTTTTCAATCAATGAATTAAGAATATTTCAGAATATTCACAATTATTCAATTTATTTTCAAAATTTATGATAAATATTCAGAAAATAATCAAAAAATAATCTGAATTTTGTACGAAATAATCAAAAATTTGTCTTAAAATCACTAAAATAATCGATTTTTCCCTTGAAATCATCTTTTTTGACAGCCCGAAAGGTAAATTTGTCAGCTGAAAAGCTTGCAAATGCTATTAAATACACAAAATAGTCGTTGTAACTTAACAGATTACGTATTTCAGTTCGTAAAAGATATCAATTTGGGTTGCAACTTTACAGTTTTCATGTAGTTTATATTATCAACCGCCAGGCGGCGCTAGTGTAAAGTGCAAATGAAATCCGAACAAAATGACGATGAAAGGTGAATTTTGGGAGTTTATTTAATACGAATTTCAACTGTCAAAAAGCCATTTCTTTACCTTTTCCTCTGTGATGCGATTTTAAGAGTTTTCCACAAATTCCGAGAGATTTTATCAGCTGAAAGAGTTGCAAATGCATTAGAAAAATCAATCAATTTCCATGGAAAGCGTTTGAAGGTTGTCCGGAAACACATAACCTCAATTTAGTGCATTTAATTGTGCACAAATTGACAGATAAATATCATTAAACTGTGAGAATGAATCTAAAAACATCGTTTGCTGCCTTTTCTCTTGATTTTCACATGAATTTTCCAAATTGTCTTGTTATAAATGTTATGAAATCGCAATTTTGCAACGCAGTTTTACGAATTCATAACTATTACAGTTTATTTTATAAGTTATGAAAATAAAATTGCAACGATCGGTAAGTTGCTTTAATATTTGTTCTTTAATCGGATATTTCGGATTTTACGCAAGATTTTACGTTATAAACGAGTGTGAAATATGAAAAACTTTACTATTTCTTTTAAGCAAGGGGGAGATAATATGTCAAAAGTGGTTTACAATTCAGTTGGAAGTATTTGGAAGTGGAAGTGCTTGAATATTTTCAACATAATGCGTTCAAGAGTCATTTTTACAAGCAATTAACGCAATATTTGGAGAAAAGAATTGTTTTTTTCACAATTTTCTAGGTTATGTTTTTGAATGTAAAACAAACTTTACCACTAAATAACCTCAAAAATCATAAATTCGTCCATCTAAACTGGGTTTAATTTGCATTTTATGGCATAATAATAATGAAATCATATGAAAATCACCAGTTTTCAGTGTAAAATTGATGTTAATTTTGCTATGATTGAACATAACCACAAAAAAAATACACAAATATACAAAATTGTCTATTTACAAACTCTAAATTAGCAAATTTTAGCTCATTATCAATTGAGTTTTGCCTTTCTAAAGATTCTAAAAAATCTTTCTTTTTTTTACGTATTCTTCTAGATATCTTTATAGGGAATTTTTAAGGTTATGTTGCGAAGTGTATTTATCCAAAAGAGTGATTTGTAAATTGAATCACATCTTATTATACAGTAGCGAAAAAGTTTTAAGACATAAAATATTTTTTTCACAAAAAATTCCTTCTTTTTTTGGTGCTAAAAATTCGATATTTCTTTCAATTTTTCGAACATTTACCTTAAGACAAAGAATGATTAGAATTTAATGGTCTTTCAAATGGCGTTGAAATCATGATGATATCACAGTTTGAGGCTGAGATATTGGCAAAAATGCGTAAAAAGACAATGAAAATGTTCTTAAGACGCTGCAGATTTTACTCCATAAAATTGACCTGGATAATTACATTAAATCATGAAGGATTGAAGAATGTCTAGAAGACATTTTTATCACTTAACACATCTTCATTTGATCTTGCTAACTTTGTTTATTTTTTTTGTATATTTTTCACTGTTATTTAACACTTTTGCACCATTTCTTACGCACAATTGCGTCCCAAAATCCTGCTTAAAGATTCTTTGTGTGAAATGTTAGAATAAGAGATCAAGTTAAATCGTTCAAGAACACGTATGTTAAAAATACAAGAAGTTTTGCTGTTAAAAAGTGTGATTTTTAGTCAATTTCTCAGAAAATCTGTAATTTCTTATTGAAGAATGGTAAGAAAATGGCTCTAATTGCGATTAGAATATTCTCTAAGTGTACAAGAAATTCATAATGTTGCATATTAATGCCCATGTCATGCCATTAATCATTAAACCCAACATTGTAGCTATTATTGCTGAAAATCACACGCCGAAGAAACGAAAATTCACATAAATATACATTTTTCTATTAGAGTCCAAGGGGTAAACATGTGGCGCAATCACGGTTCACTGAGAACGCAATCTTCGCAATCCCAAACGCAATCCGCAATCCCTAGTGTAAAAACGCAATCTTTTGGCGCAATCACCGCAATTCTAAGCGCAATCTTAAGCGCAATCCGCAATCCCTAAGAGTATTTCGCGGAATTTGGGTAGTTTTTCTCGGAATTTGGTACGATTTCAGATTGATTCACTATTTTTCCATGGCGTGATGAGCAAAAATGTGGTTTGTTCTTTCTTGATATCTTTTACTAGTAATTCTCTGATCCAAGTAAGTAATTTTATTATTACTTTATACGGTCAATAACATAGGACGTAAAGGATATAAATTCTACCAGTGATCTCAGTGAAGAAAAAAATGTTTAGAATATTCTCATTTAGTGAATTCACTAACAAAATATATTTTTTTGGTTTAAACTTGGGTGTGAATTCCTTCAGATACCTGCTGCTCAAATGAGATTTCACGATAGGTAGGGGTAAGTGGGGCAGCTTCAGATTTAAAATGCTGTTCCAACTTTAGGATTTTTTCTTGAAAAATCGGCTGAATATATTGAAATAATCACAACGCTCAAATAAACTCTTGTCTATTGAGCTTCAGAAAATGCCTTTCATTGGGCATTAAAACTGATCCTTTTTCCTCTAAAGGAGATTAAAAATAATATTGTAATTTATCTGAAACTGCCCCGCACGGGGATGTTTCGGATTGCTCTGGGGCAGTTTCAGATTTTCACTGATATTTACCATAAATTCCATTGTGGAATTGTTGAATCGCGGACAAATGATCACTTTGATATCTATTCTACGCACTGAAACTGTTTAATTCCCTAAAAATCGCCTTTAAATTACTATTTTCGCGACTTTTCTGGACCCTTGCACGCACTGTCAAAATGTCTGAGCGAAAAGCAAGTTGCCCGTCATTTTTCCTGTATCGCAACGCCACCATGCGTGAGTGGTGGCAACTTCAGTGCCACCACAAATCAAATCAGTGCAAATCAGTGATTTTCGCGTGTATTTTCTCACTTTTCCACTAAGAAGTCGTTTAACGTGATGAAGCAATGCAGCACAGAACGGCACTTTGTGAAAAATCTTCAATATTTGCCACAAGAAAATTTCGACCGTGATGTTGCGTCAGACTGTCAGAGCGCGCTGTTGTCAGTCCGTGGCGATCCGAAGCTGCCCCGTGTGCAGTGTTTGTGCATTTTCCACCACCCACTGAAAAGGCCGTGATCAGGAGGAAAAGTTCGGGCATATTTAGAATCTCTACTTAATTCTCAATAACCTTTGATTGTGTTTCACGCGAATTGTGGCTTTTTTAATGGAGAAAACACGCAATCAATTCGGCAGCAAAATTCTAGTTTGTGAGTGATTTTCAATTTTCACTTATTTTATCTAAACAGTCAAGGCGATCCTGTGCAAATTTTCGTCAATTGTAGTCCTTAAGGACTACAAACATTGTGTGAAGACCAGGAATTTATTCATGTAAAAATCACTGAGAAAATTAAGAAATCTGAAGCTGCCCCAATCTGAAGCTGCCCCATTTACCCCTATTTGAATTTTCATTCGTAAAACATGAAATTTTTTTACCATTTGTGTTTTTTTTTAGATTAATAACATTTTTTACGATTTTCTCTTAAAATAAAGATCTCAAAAAAAATCTTTTACAGGAATAAAAAGGTCAAAATTGTCCTTTTTTTTCAGAAGAGCAAATTGAAAATTTCACATTAAGATTGTTGGCAAATTTATCTTAAAATGCTTTCTAATCGTCAATGAAAGTGTTAATATTGCTATAATATTAAAATATTTTGACTAAAATATGACAAAATAATAGAAAATTTGAAAATAACACTTTCCAAAGACGATTTTATCCAAACAAGTTCGAAAAAATCAACTTTTCATACTTGAACTAACTTTTTTTTTAGTTTTCAAGTAAGAAATTAAAAAATATATGAGAAATATTCATTAAAAGTCTAAAAAACATTTTAGAATAATTCTGAAATTCAAAAATAATTTCCTGAAAAAGCATTTTATGCGGTTTAACTGCAATTTTTGGGACATTTTTCTTAGAAAACTCGTTTCAATTTTCATCCATTTGTGCTTTTTGGGC